GAGCCTCGCGGGCCCCTCTCGAGGCTTCGGCCCCCGTCGGCGATCGGGACCCCCTCGCCCGCCCCTCTTCTCCGACCAGGGTTGCTGAAGTCGGGCCTGTCCCCCTGCAGGAGGAATGTTCAGGGGTAGTAACACATCGGGTGACGATGTGTCATTCTCTTTTGCTGTTGCTGTTGCTGTTGATTTGCCGTTGCTGTTGCTGCTGTTGCTGTTGTTGCTGTTGCTGCTGTTGCTATTGCTGTCAATGTTGCTGTTGTTGCTGTTGCTGCTGCTGCTGCTGCTGCTGCTGTTGTTGTTGTTGTTGTTGTTGTTGTTGTTGTTGTTGTTGTTGTGGTTGTTGTTATTGTTGCTGCTGTTGTTGTTGTTGTTGTTATGGTGATTGTTGCTGTTACTGCTGTTGTTTATGTTGTTGTTGATGTAGCTGTTGCTGCTGGTGCTGCTGGTGCTACTGGTGCTGCTGGTGCTGTTGCTGTTGCTGTTGCTGTTGTTGTTGTTGTTGTTGTTGTTGTTGTTGTTGTTGTTGTTGTTGTTGTTGTTTTTTGTTGTTTTGTTGTTGTTGTTGGTTGTTGGTTTTGTTGTTTTTGTTGTTTTCGTTGCTGTTGTTGTTTGTTTGTTTGTTTGTGTGTTTGTTTGTTTGTTTGTTTGTTCGTTTGGTTGGTTAGTTGGTTGGTTGGTTGGTTGGTTGGTTGGTTGGTTGGTTGGTTGGTTGTTGTTTGTTGTTGTTGTTGTTGTTGTTGTTGTTGTTGTTGTTGTTGTTCTGTTGTTGTTGAATTCTCATGTCTGAAGAGTAATTATTGTTGATCCCCCCACAGGTGCATATTGTTTTGTCTCAATCAAAGTGTGCCCCTCGACGCTCGCACCGTGTCTTTTGACAGGGAAAGTCTTCCTGGTCAAACTGGGCCCTTGGCCCCCGGGTTACAACAACAACGGCTCCCGCTTGAGACTTCCTTACAATTTAGCCAGGACCCCCGCTCCCGCCCGAGACTTCCTCGCATTTATTCAGGAATCGCGCTCTCGCTTGGGACTTCCTTACAATTTATTCAGGAATCGCTCTCCCAGCGCTCTGGAGTCGCGCTCTCGCTGGAGACTTTTCGCAACTTACTGAAGAATGGCCTTGCGTTTGAATTTCTTGTAATTTGCTCAAACGCCCCGCTCCCGAAACCCAGGTACCCATGAGTCGCGCCCGTTGTGGCCCCATGTGCATGCCCTTCGTGGCCCCGCTGTCGCCATTTGTGTCCCCCTCACTGTCCTACGTGGCCCAGTTGTTACCCTCAGTGGCCCCATAGTTGCCTTCTGTGGCCCCGCATTACCTGCACTTCGTGGCCCCCGCTCGTTCGCGCTCTTCGTGGCCCCATACGCGTTCCCTTCGTGTCCCCGCTGTCGCCCTTCGTGGCCTACTTCGTGCCCTTCGTGGCCCTGCTGTCGTTCTCTCTCGCTCTCGCTTCGTCGTCGTCGTCGTCGCCGTCGTCTTCGACGTCGTCGTCGTCGTCGTCGTCGTCGTCGTCGTCGTCGTCGTCGTCGTGGTCGGTCCCCTGTCCGTCCCTCTTGGGGTCGGGTCGACGGTCCGCGGCCGCCCCGCCGATCAGCGCTGCCGCTGGCCAGGCCGACGGTCCGCGGCCGCCCCGCCGCTTGCCGGGGCCTGGCCTGAAAGGTATACCCCCCAAAAGGGGTTCGATCGTAGACGAAGAGGGCGGGTATCGAGGGTTTGGGAAATAGGCGCTCTTGGACACTCGAGCAAATAAGTGCGAACAATCTCGAAATGTTTGTTGTTGTTGTTGTTGTTGTTGTTGTTGTTGTTGTGGTTGTTGTTGAATATTATTACTTCTAAAGAATAATTATTGTTGGGCCCCCTGGTGCACGCCCCCCTCGCCGCGCCTAGGCCGCAGCCACATTTTCATCATTTTCGTGAGGAAGTCTCAGGCAAAACGGGGGAGTCCGGATCCGGTTGTTTTGTTGACGCCCGCTTTCCCTGTCAAAAAACAATATAAAATGACATGTCTTGTTCTAACATAACCAAACTTCAAGAATCCTTTGCAAAAAATGACACGAAGTGCACACTCGCGCGCGCAAGATGAAATCCTTCCAAAACCTTAGTTTTCGTAGCGATTTTAACATAAAAACATGAAAAACCCAATGGTTTTTCAAAAAAAAAGTTTCAAACATTCATCCCGCGCGCTCTTGCGGATTTCTTAGGAAACCCAATACTTTTTCAACATTTCTGTCAAACGGGCTCTTGCGAGCAACTTTTTCACGTGCTTCGAACTTCTGCAACAACGGTTGCGCGCCTGCCAGGGCCATCATCCCTGTCAAATAATACCATATGGGACACATTCGTTTTTTCTTCGCGCGCGCACGCCGAAATCTTCAATTGCAGGGGGAAAAGTCGTATACTAAGCTAGCTTACAGAAAATGTTACCACAACAAGTCATTGTACCCATGCGCCAGTGTAGTAGCCAAGGTCGTCCGCAGGCCACGAAGTGAGGTGTCCGAACGTCATAGGGCGGGAAGCTGGGTGTGGGTGGTGGCGAAGAGTCGTTTGGAAATTTGGTAGAGCTTGAACCGGCCCCCCCACAAAGTGGGGGTATTGCCCGCCTCCTATGAAAACCCTGGCACTGGTGAGAACGGAGTGTCCCCACGTGCTAGTAATTGTTGTTGTTGTTGTTGTTGTTGTTGTTGTTGCTGTTGCATCTGCTGCTGCTGCTGCTGTTGTTGTTGTTGTTGTTGTTGTTGTTGTTGTTGTTGTTGTGCTGTTGTGCTTCTTTTTGATGTTTTTTACTTAACAGCGAAGACTGATAGGTTTCGAATGGGGTCAAAAGAGAGCATCTGATGACTCCCCAGGGGGGTCTGGGCGGGAGCCGGACAGGCGAGGGCCGGGCTCGTTTTAAGTAAACAGTCACACACACTTCGTGCTCTTCGACCTCCCAGAACTCCATTCCCGGGCCACATTTTGAATGCCCAGAGCCAACTGTAGGCCACTTCGTGCTCTTGGACTTCCCAGAACACCATTCCCGGGCCACATTTTGGATGCCCGGAGCCAGCTGTAGGCCACTTCGTGTTCTTGGACTTCCCAGAACACCACTCCCGGGCCACATTTTGGATGCCCGGAGCCAACTGTAGGCCACTTCGTGCTCTTCCACTTCCCAAAACTTCACTCCCGGGCCACATTTTGAATGCCCGGAGCCAACTGTACGCCACTTCGTGCTCTTCCACTTCCCAGACTTCCAAGACTCATCATCTTCATCATCATCATCGTCCCCGTAGCCTTCTTGGCTACAGCCCTGCTTTCGAAGATTTCCTTTCAAAGGAACTGCGCAGCGCCTACTGCGCACCTTAATGCCAGGACATGCTGATAGTTCTCGGTCTGGCGGCGGTGCTCCTGACCCCGCTGCATTGAACAGCGGTGCTCCTCAGCCTGCGGCAGGGAACAGCGCTGCTCCTCAGCGTGCTGCATTGAGCGGTCCTCTGCAAACGCTCGTCGAGCACGTGAAGCAGTTCGGCCGGATACCGAAGCGAAATAAAGGAACGTCCGAACAAGAACGGGCCGAAAACAAGTTGGCCAAACGTTTCTCGGACCATCGCGACCGCGTCCCCGAAGACATTTTGCATGAACTGCGGGCTCTGGGCTGTGCTGATCAGCAGACGGAGACCGAGGAACTCAAGCGGAAGCAGAGGACCGAGGAGCTCATGCAGCAAAAGCGAGACAAGACCGAGGAGCTCATGCAGCAAGTGCGAGACCTCGGCCGCCACCCGAAGGAGTTTGCCGGGCGTAGCCTCGCAGAGCGGCAGCTGGCAGAGAAAGTCCGGAAAGCACGGAAGGCCAACCAGTTCTCCCCGGAGCAGGACGCCGAGCTCCAGGCCTTCAAGCAAGCGGAGAGCGAAGCCGCAACAAAGACTCGCATCGCGGAGGCGGAGGGCCTTCCAAACCGCATGGAAGGGTTCGCTGAGGAGGCGCAGAACAGGATCGCTGCGCAGCATGGCCGGCCACATGCAACTACTGGCAGTGCCACTGCGACTGCCGCTGATGTTGCCACTGCGACTGCCACTGCGAATCCGAATGCGACTGCGAGAACACCAGAATTCTACAACAGCACTCTTACATGAATACCACAGGCAATGTTTCCAGCTATGCTTCTACACATCGCTGTGAGGTTGCTTTGCCGGGATAATTTTACGCTTCTTCCCAAATCTGCCCGTGGGAGGACATGCCCGACCTAGCACCAGGGGGGGGGGGGGGCGGATCTCATGTTGGCGGCGACGACGGCGGCTTCGATGATGACGAAGACGCAGGCCTGGACTGTGACCTCGACGTCGACGGCGACGGCGGCTTCGACGATGGCATCGTCGTCCCAGTCCGCAGCCAGAACACACCCATGTCCCCCGTATCCGAGTCGTGCCCCGTCGTGCCCTGGGGCCCCGAGGAGGGGTGGACACGGCTGCCCGCCCGCCTCTCGAGGAGGATTGCCCACGCCAGTTTGCCGCGGGGACCTCCTGGGGCAAACCGAGCGGTTCCGATGCCGCTGCTCCCCGGACTTCGAGGCGAAGTTGGCGGCGGCCACGAGGGCCTCCCAGCACGCCCCCCCGGGTGGCAGCGCAGACGAGGCAACGGTGGCGGCAGCGGCGCCGGCGGCTCCGGCAGCGCTGGCGTGCGGCAGCGGTGGGCTCTGGCAGCCATGGGCTCCCAGGGGCCCAGAGCAGGGCTCCGGCAGCGCTGGAGCGTGGACCCCCCCCTCTGGCGGTGCGCCCGGCGGGTCCGTGGCCGCCCTCCCGAGGTGGGGGACCCCGCCGCGGTGGCCGCGGCCAGCGCGCGCCTGCGCGCTGCGGAGGCCACGCCCGCTGCCGCCGCCGCGGCCGGCGCCGCCGCCGCGGCCTGCTCCGCCGCCGCGGCCTGCGCCGCCGCCGCCGAAGCCGCCGCCGGCGGGGACGGCGGCGGCGACGACGAGGGTGGCAATGATGACAACGTCGACGCCAACAACGATGGCGACACCACTGACGACGACGACGGCGGCGGCGGCGGCGGCAAGGGCGACGGCGGAGACTGCAAAGACGACAAGGACGACGACGACGACGACGACGCCAACAGCGACCCCCACGACCATGACGACGCCAGGGACGCCACCGTCAACGACGACGAAGACGACGAAGACGACGAGGACGACTACATACGACGTCGACGACGCCAACGTCAGTGTAATCGACGATGGCGACGGCGACGACGACTGCGACGACGGCGACGTCGACACTTTCGCGGACCTCTGGCGGCCTACTGGCGGTTTCTCGGCGGGCTCTCGGCGGCGCTTGGAACATCCTTGGCGGCTCTGGGCCAGGAGGAGGAGGAGGAGGAGGAGGAGGAGGAGGAGGAGGAGGAGGAGGAGGAGGAGGAGGAGGAGGAGGAGGAGGAGGAGGAGGAGGAGGAGGAGGAGGAGGAGGAGGGAGGAGGAGGAGGAGGAGGAGGAGGAGGAGGAGGAGGAGGAGGAGGAGGAGGAGGAGGAGAGAGGAGGACTCCCAAGGGCCGCCTGACACACGTGCGAGCTCGAAGTACATTCTTGAGCCTCTCCTCGCTCTCCTCGTGTCGGACGAAAAGGGGGTTTGGAGAGGCTTGCGAACTCTGCCGCACGCCGCCGCTTTCGGCCCTGCCGCCCAGCGTGTCCCTCGAGATGCACCGCCGCTCTTAGCGTTCGGGAGGCGCTGGGGTCCAACGGGGTGCGCGTGCGGCTGGATCCGCGCCGCGACGAGGCGGCGTGATTCGCTGACCCCTCCTCCTCCTCCTCCTCTTCCTCCTCCCCCTCTGCTGCTGTCCCCCCTGTGTTCCGCCCCGGTCTGCACGCTCGTGTGCACGGGCGTTCGCGGCTGACCGCCGCCAATGGCCTGGGATCGGCCGGCCTGCGCTGTCGGCACGGGCGCGCGATCGTTCCGGTCTGAACGGGCCGCGCGGTGACGGAGACCAGCGCGCGAGTCGTCACGGCACGAAGCTGCCGTCCCCCAGCCTGTACCGGGACCCAGGCATGATCGCGTCTGACAAGCATCAGAACGGGAGGTGTTCTTGGCTACTTACGGCCTCGGGGGGCCCTCGCCCTGGCCTCGGGAGCGTCAACAGAACGACTCGGGATGAAAAGCGGGTCCTGGGGAGGAGGGGGAGGATGAGGAGGAGGAGGAGGAGGAGGAGGAGGAGGAGGAGGAGGAGGAGGAGAGAGGAGGGAGGAGGAGGGAGGAGGCGGAGGAGGAGGCGGAGGCGGGAGGCGGAGGCGGAGGCGGAGGCGGAGGCGGAGGCGGAGGCGGAGGCGGAGGCGCGGAGGCGGAGGCGGAGGCGGAGGCGGAGGCGGAGGCGGAGGAGGAGGAGGCGGAGGAGGAGGAGGAGGAGGAGGAGGAGGAGGAGGAGGAGGAGGAGGAGGAGGAGGAGGAGAGCGTCAACAGAACGACTCGGGATGAAAAGCCCGTCCTGGGGAAAGGGTCGGGACTTCCAGGGACCCCGTACTGAACAATGCAGGACGTCGCACGTCTGGGGTTGGGCGGATGCACGTGACGCGCCGGGCCCGGGCAGGCTCCAGTCGGGCCTGTCCCTCTACAGGAGGGATGTTCCAAGACAGTCAAACACTAGTCTGGGGATGATTTTTGGACTAATTTGCAAAAGGTTGGAGCATTTTTCGAGTCTCTCTTTTCAGGAGGGGAAACAACAAAGACACACAGACGCAAATAATCGTCGACCCCCAGGAAAATATGGGAACATCTGGGAAGCGGGGCGGACAACAAAACCCTAGAAAATATGGGAACATATGGGGAATCCTGTTATTTGTGTCTATTCATTGAGAGGGCCTGACGGCCGATGCCGCCGACCCTGAAGCAAATCGACGACCAGCTGGAGGAGAAGGAGGAGGACGAGGAGGAGGAGGAGGATGAGGAGGAGGAGGATGAGGAGGAGGAGAAGGAGGAGGAGGATGAGGACGGGGAGGAGGACGAGGAGGAGGAGGAGGAGGAGGAGGCGGGAGGAGGAGGAGGAGGAGGAGAAGGCGGAGGCGGAGGCGGAGGGAGGCGGAGCGAGGTGGAGGCGAGGCGGAGGAGGAGGAGAGAGGCGGAGGAGGAGGAGGAGGAGGAGGAGGAGGAGGAGGAGGAGGAGGAGGAGACAGGAGGAGGAGGAGGAGGAGGAGGAGGAGAGGAAGAGGCGGAGCGGAGGCGGAGGAGGAGGGAGGCGAGGCGAGGCGGAGGCGGAGGCGGAGGCGGAGGAGGAGGAGGATGAGAGGAGGAGGAGGAGGAAGGAGGAGGAGGAGGAGGAGGAGGAGGAGGAGGAGGAGGAGGAGGAGGAGGAGGAGGAGGAAACGATTTTCTTGCAAGTCCCAATCATGTTTGTGCCCCTCGCCCGCGCCTCGCGGGACGCGCCCCGCGCCGGCCGCAGGCCGAGGTCAGGCTCGCGGCCCTGGGAGCGCTCGGGCAGCTGTCGCGCGGGGGCGGCGGCGAGGTCTGTGCGGGAAGTGGGGGGCGGGGTGGCTGCCTCCTCGAGGAGGGGGGGGTGGCGACGAGGGAGGAGGGGAGCGATGAGGAAGGGGGGAAGGGGGAGGATGGGGTGCGGGGGGTGCGAGAGAGAGGAGGGAGGGTGGGGGGGGGGGGGGCGGGAGGGGGAGGAGGAGGCGAAGGGAGGATGGGGAGGGGGGGGAGGGTTTGGGAGGAGGAAAGGTCGAGGAGGAAGGAGTGCGGGAGGAGGAGGGGGAGGAGGGGAGGAGGAGGATGAGGATGAGGATGAGGATGAGGATGAGGAGGATGAGGGAGGAGGAGGAGGAGGAGGAGGGAGGAGGAGGAGGAGGAGGAGGAGGAGGAGGAGGAGGAGGAGGAGGAGGAGTGCCCTCCACCCTTCAGCACCTGCCGCTAGCGAGCCTCGCCCGGCCGCGCGAAGTTCGCGCAGCGAGGTGCGACCGGGTGATGCGAGGCAAGGTGCGCGGGGGCAGGGACCGAGCAGTCATATAGGCCCAGGGATCCGACGCTCCAGAAAAATTGGAGCGGGCGGTTTTTCACCGTTTTCGGCCTCTGGGGGCTCTCGCTGGGCCTCGGGACCGTCAAGAAACGATTCAGGACGAGACATCCGCCCCAGGGAAGTGGCCCAGACCTCCGGGGCCCACGCCTCGAAGCGATGGGAGCAGCCGAGGGTCTGGGGGCCCACCTCTGCCTCGTCCCCCACCCTCCTCCTTTGTTCCTCTCCTCGTGGGCGGGGGGCAGATCCGCAGCCTCCTCTTCCTGCCTTCCTGGCGCCACTGCGGGCGGGCCTCCGTTGGGGGAGCAGGCGGCACGCCGGCCGCGAGAGCAGTGGCGCCCTGTCGGGCCACGGCCCCCTCGTCCCGGCGATGGGGGGCGGCCGCGCAGGCACACAGAGCCGTGAAATGCGTGCAGCCACGCAGCGGCCCGCAGAGAGCACGGACCCCGCGGGCTCCCCACATGGGGAGACCCGGTGCCAAGAAGCACCCTGCCTGCCTCCAGGGTGCCGTGGGTTTCCCTGGGTTTCCTGGGCGTCGGGGAAGACCTCCAGTAAGCGGGCTCCGGCCCACCCGCGCTGCTCCTAAGGGGCCCGCCGGCGGGCCGGCGGACTCAGCGCGCTCCGCTTCCGCTTCCGCTTCCGGAGAAGACGGCGCAGGGATAGAAGGAGCTCGCGAAGGCGGAGGGTGGCGCAGGGCGCAGGAGCGGGAGTACAGCGGGGGCCCATGCCAAGAAGCGCCCTGCTTGCCTCTGGGGTGCCCTGGGTTTCTCTTGGGTTTCGACGGCTTTGGTGTGGGGAGCGCGACGCCCCCACACCAAAGATCCATGGACGTCCTGGGGTCTCAGGGTCGGGCTTCCCTGTGGGAGGTCTCTTGTGGACTGGCCTCCACCGTAACGATCTCTTCAGAGTTCAAGGGGAAGATCAGACTGGAAGTGGACGACGCGTAGACTCAGAGAGTCTGGCATCCACGGCCCCGCGGCCTGGACCCCTGGGCCGCGACCCCGTGGATGCCTGGCTCTTTTGTCGCGGACGCCCCGCGCGGAGCGTCTCCCTGCGACTCCGCATCCGCGGCATCGCGCCCCGGAACGCAGACCGCGAGGGGGCGGATATGGGTATGTTCGCCGCTCGTGATTCAGGAGGAAAAAAACACACAGACACAATTAATCGTCGATTCCAAGGAAAATATGGGAAAATATGGGAAGTGGGTGGGAAGACAAAAAACAAAGAAAATATTGGAAAATATGGGGGATCTTCTCATTTGTGTGTATTTATCTGTGTGTCCCAGGGCCCCTTCAGTGATCTCCCCCTTTCCGGGAGAAGGGTGGGGATGAACGAGGTGGACCCGTGCAGCCGCCTGCCCTCCAGGAGAGGCCGGGGGGCTCCAGCTCCGGAGGTGGCCTCGCTCCGCCGGCGGGGTCGGCGTCGGAGGGGCCCGCGCCCTCGGGAGCGCCCGCGGGAGGCAGGCGGAAGTGCGGGGGCGCGCGCCCGGCTCTCCACGAGGGGAGAGCGAGGGGCCACCAAACTTTACGTCGGGCGTGTCCCCCTACAGGGGGGATTTTCCACGAAAAATAGAAAATACGCAAAACATATTCCAAAACATATTCCCAAATGGTCAAACATCCCCGCAGTATGTTTGGAATCTATTATGATATTTTTTTCGGGTATATTTTATTTTTCGTCGAAAATACCCCTGTAGGGGGACTCGCCCGACATCAAAACCAAACTGCGTTGTTGGGCCCCGGTTTGTAACAACAGCGGCACCACTTCCTCACAGTTCATCCCCAAATCGCGCTCTCGCGCGGGACTTTCTCACAATGTATGCAGCGATCGCGCTCCCGCGTTGGACTTCCTCGCAACTTCGCCCCTGACACTCAGGAATCACGCTCTCGCTGTGGCCTTTCTCACGATTTACTTGGGGATTGCGCTATCGCTCGAGACCCCCTCGCGATTCATGCAGAACGCACGCTTCAGCAACCCGCCTGCTCGACCTGGCCGCCTGGGCCCGTCTTCCCGACCCGCCTGTTAGGGTCTACCCGCCCGATCAGCCCGTCTGGTTGTGTCACGTGTTTTCTGCTCCTGGCTCCCCTCCTGCTACGCTCTCTCGTGCTCCATCCTCCTCCTTCCCCCTTGTCCCTTCCTTCCATCCGTCCCCTCTTCCCCTGCCTCAGGGGCTGCACGAAATACACGTTGCAGACAAGAAAGATAGACCCCTGATGGGGGCACGATGGCACGCGAGCAAGTAAGTCTAAAACTGATTGTTGTTGTTTTCGTTTTTATTATTCTTCTTGTTGTTGCTCTTGTATTGGTTTTTGAATTCTCAGTGCAACATAATGATTATTGTTGGTCCCCTCCTCCGATCACCGCTGTATTTTTCAACAAGTACTTCTCCTGGGGCTCGCACCAAGTTTGTAACAAGGGAAAATGAAGTGCCACCAAACTATTTCCCTGGCCCCGGTCTACAGCAACAACAACAACGGCTCCCGCTTGATACTTTCTCACAGTGTATTCCAAACTCGCGCTCTCGCGCGGGAAGTCTTTTACAATTTCTACAGGAATCGCGCTAATTTTGGGGCAGGGTGCCAGGGTCCCGTCCTCGTCAGCTTGGCGAGGCTGGGGACCTGGTACCTTGCCCCAGGGTGCCAGGGACCCGTCCCTGCCTTGTTGCTGTTTCCTCTGTGGAGGTGGCTTTCCGCGGGGTTTGGGGCCAGTTCGAGAGAGTAGATACACACGGCGGCGGAAGTCGGCGGGTGACAGAGGGAGGGAGGTCCTTGGTCAATTTTGGCTCCAGCTGTTCGAGCCGCCATGTCTCTGGTCGAGCCGCAGGCCGCCGCTGGGAAGGAGGAGGAGAGAGCTCTGGAGGACCGCGAGGAGGACCTGGCCGCAGCCGTGGCGGCAGCGCCCGGCACGCGGCCGCGAGACGTTGAGTTTCTGCGCCAGAGCGCCGCCAGCCGTGGCTTCGTGCGCCGCGCGAGCGGCCTCCAATACAGGGTGGTGCAGAGCGGGCCAGGGCGAGCGCTGCCTCTGGGTCCGAGCGCCTGGTGCAGGTGTCACGCGCGCGGCATGCTCACCGATGGCACCGAGTTCGATTCCACCCACGGGCGGTCCCCGATGCTGCTCAGGCCGGAGGACACCGTGCCTGGCCTGAGGGAAGCTCTCAGCCTCATGCGCGCGGGCGACAGGTGGGAGATCGTCCTGCCTTGCCACCTCGGCTATGGCCCGGAGGGTGCGGGCCCGGTCCCGGGCGGGGCCGCATTGATCTACGACCTGCACGTGCTCGAGGTGCTCGACCTGAAGGCCCCTGCTGGCCTGCTCGACTCCGAGGCCGGGCGCTTCCGCGCTGGAGCCATAGGGCTCGCCATGTTGCTGGGCCTCGCGGTGCTCGGGTACCAGCAGTACTTCCTCAGGAAGACCGCGGCGGAGTACGGCCCCGAGCTCGGCTTGCACGAGGCGGCCGGGCCCGGGAGCACGAGGGTCTTCCTGGACGTCCAGATCGGCGGGCGGCGGGCGGGGCGGGTCGAGTTCCAGCTCTTCGACTCGGTGGCGCCGCGGACGGCGGAGAACTTCCGGGCCCTCTGCACGGGCGAGCGGGGAGAGGGGCAGTCCGGCAAGCCCCTGCACTTCAAGGGCTCGAGGTTCCACAGGATCGTCCCAGGGTTCGCTCTGCAGGCGGGCGACCTGACGCGGGGGGACGGCCACGGCGGCGAGAGCATCTACGGCCCGCTCTTCCACGACGAGTGGGAGCGCGGCTGGGTGCGGCACTCCGAGCCGTTCCTGCTGTCGATGGCGAACCGTGGGCGCGACACGCAGAGTTCGCAGTTCTTCGTTACGCTGCAAGCGGAGCCGATGCTGGACGGCAGGCACGTCTGCTTCGGGCGCGTGGTACAGGGCACGCACGTTGTTAAGGTAGGGGAGCGAAGAGTGACATAAACATATAACACTCGGAGGTCCGCTCTGATTTCTCGGATCCGCGCTGGACCCAGCTGGCGGCGCCTCCCGCGCCGCCCCTTGGCGCGCTCCGCGCGCCAGGGAGGGGGTCCAGCGCCGATCCGAGAAATCCGCGCGGACCTCCGAGTTTTTATGTTTGTGTCATTCTTCGTTCCCCTGTGAGATGATCGAGGCCGCTGGGACTCGGAGCGGGGACCCCGCCCAGGAGGTTCTCATCGTGGACAGCGGGCAACTGGGCCCCGACGGGCAGCTGATCCAGGAGCCCATCCTCCTAGAGGACCAGATGACCGGGCCACACGGGTACGAACTCTGACCATCGCTGTGGAGGGGTCCGGCCCGACCCGACCAGGTCCATCACTGTGGGGCACGTCGCGAGCGAGCTCGGCACCCATCCGAACCACGGCGAGGCGGTTGAGGGGAGCCCAGTCGTGCTGGCGCACCACACGCGTCCCGCGTGCCGGCCTGGGCGAGTCCGCCCGCCTCCCCATAGCGTTAAGTCGGCCGTGTCCCTCTACGGGAGGAATATTCTAGAGTAGAATAAACATAGTTATTGTTGTTGTTGTTGTTGTTGTTGTTGTTGTTGTTGTTGTTGTTCTTGTTGTTGTTGTTGTTGTTGTTGTTGTTGTTGTTGTTCTTGTTGTTGTTGTTGCTAGTATTATCATTATTATTATTATCATTATCATTATTATTATTGCTGTTATTCTTATTATTATTAGTATTATTATTGTTATTATGAGTATGCTTATGGTTATGATTCTGATTATGATTATGATTGTTATGATTATGCTCATTAATATTTGTTTTTCTTCTTATTCATCGTCTTCTTCTTCTTAGTATTTTATTTATATTATTATTGTTATCATTATTACTATCAGTATAATAATTATAATTAGAATAGTAGTAAGGATAATATCATTATTTGTGTGTGTATGTGTGTATTTTGCGATTTTTTTTTAAACAAATGTTTCGCCCACGATCTGCCTCTATGGGGGACACGCCCGACCTGA